CTTTTATGTACAAATTACAAAAATGGAATATCTACAAATTGTCTTTATTTTGTCAAAAGTGAATATCTTACCTTTACTTTATACTTTATTAATGTTTTTAAAATCTTTGTGGTCTTTCTAGAATTTTCTATAACTTTGATGAACCTTTTCAAACATTTGTTTTATAGTATTAAATTTGGTTATGTTTTATAAACCATTATGAACCAATTTGGTTAATTAATATACTTTAGAAACTATATTTTTTTAGGTCAAAAAATGAGGGATTAATTGATCGAAATTGGACACTCAAGGGGTTGCTTTTATTTTGGTTGAAACATAAACACAATACTTTGAGGTCTAAAGTGCAATTTTCTCCATAGAAAATCAGGTAATCTTGTCCAGGAAACATAAACACAATACTTCCAAAACTAAGCAGATGATAAGCAAGGGCTGATGTAGTCTGAGCGTAGTAGGGCCTATTGCCCACGAGAAACTCTTGTATGTACTAACAAAATCTGACAACTATAGTTTTGCATTAATTTTTGCCCTTTTGTAAATAGTGGGATCTATGTAGGATGATTAGATTAGGTACGATTTAATGCAATTGTTGTGTTTTATCCACAATATATGGTGTGTACTTACTGATGCAGTTGTCTTTACAAATTAAGTTGGTGTACACAAATAAAATTTAAAAATACATCAAAGTTATATAAACATACATTATATTATATAAAAAAAGTACAACAATCGAATAATTAGACAAAATTGCGAATTATATCTGTCCATGGTTTGTAAATAAGTCCACCTACTGCGCATGCTATATATAGCTAATTCAGTACTATATTCTATAACCTACTATTTTACCAATTTGCTGTCCATCTTCCAACCAAAATATTTTAGAAGTCATATTTCCGCTCTATAGAATCAACATCATTTAATTATAAACTAACTAAGTATTAGTTCCAAGTCGTAAAAAACTTTATTAACTCCTTTCTATTGTGATTTTGAATTTGTCATTTATAATAAATAACTAATTTACTCTAACTTAAGTAACTGATAATTTTGTTAGTTTCTTTATGTGGTATTTTCCAATTAATCATCGAATTTATATGTCGTTGTTTTTGTTTTAAGGGTTAATTTCAATGAACCTCCTCAAATAATAGTATTTTCTCACTTTGCCCCTAAAGATTTAATTGTACCCATGCACCTCTTATACTATTAATAATATTCCCAATTAAGTGCAATCAGGTTGGACAGTCCAATTTATAGTTGATTTGGTCATGTGCAGCTCATGTGATTATGTGAAGCGACCAAACTTTTCCCAATACTTCATTTCACATTTATTCTAGGTAGTCCATCTTGACATTTGTAAAGAAAAAGATATCTTAGTGCTTTCTACGCGTTAAATCATCTATTATCCAACAAATCTTGGCATTATTAAAACATTTAGTACACGTTCATTTTTGTCAGCCCATATCATTACCAAACTAATATGTTATTACGCCTTTGGGAATATTGGAATTATAAAGGATGGATTGGTACAATTAAACCTTCGAGGCAAGTTCTGAAAAGAGTTTTTTTTTAGGGCTTTATTGGAATTAACCCTTGTTTTAGTGATTAACCTTTTACTTTGTGTGATTAATATTTTTGTTAGTTTGTTAGCTGTCACCTACTTTAATTATAAGTTTAACTCGACAGACATAGATACTACAAGGGGAAGACCAATAATGAAGAGTCATTCCACATGGAAGAAGCCAATGATAGCAATAGTGGGAAAATTTGTTCCAAAAATTGGTATTTATCAAGTTGATGATTTGTTAGCAAATACCAGGTTTAGGGAAAAAATTATTACTCATCATCCTAATTTTTGTGATGAAATGTGAAGATATAATCATGTAAAAAAAAAAACACTTACGTTGAAGGTGTATAAAAGATTAATCTAGTGAGTCAATATTAAAGAAAAAAAATGGTAAATTCTGCCAAAAAATCATAATGGTTTTTTTAAATTATAGTAATTAGTTTTGTCACAAAAACTAAGTGAAGTGTTAAGACTAGAAAGGAAGAATAATGCTACTAAGTGAAGTTGGATATGCAAATTTGCCATGTTTTAACACTTGGTATCTATTTTCTTTGGCGATCTTCCTGCCCATTGTCAACTATATATGTCGGCAAGTCAATTTTTGGGTTGCAGCATATCTGTACCAGCTGGGTCCGAAATACTGCACCTACCCACTAGAATAGACAAATTCTTTAATGAACCCAGACGGTGTGGTCCTTGAAAAAGGACGTCACCCTTTTGGTTGTTTAAATAGGCATACATGCTTTCACATGTTAGTTAACTAATCATGGATTAACCTACTGTTATTAGAGTAATTGACCACTACAGAAAAATTTAAAACTCTTCTTCGATATCGGCTAAGGATCAAATCTTTTATTTACATTTTTCTGTAGATTTTCTTTTGGAAATTTTACCATCAGATGCACATACATCCATTTGATTTGGTGGTGATTCTGTCCCCCAACCTTTCCCCTTAATATAGTCTTAGAATTTCTTTTGACCCTTTTAGGTTCACTTCTTTCGTGGCTAAGAGATCAAATCCTTCACTTATATTCTTTTCTAAAATTTTTTTGAGATTTTATCATCAGATACATATGCATCCGTTTGATTGATGGCGATTCTACCCACCAACCCATCCCCCTATATAGAGTCTTAGAATATATCTTTGACCCTCTTAGATTCACTTCTTTCCTTGGTTAGGGGATCAAATTTTCTAACTTACGTTCTTCTCTAAAATTTTTTGAAGATTTTATCATCAGATGCACATGCATTCGTTGATTTGGTGACGATTTACCCCTCTAACCCTTTCCCCTAGTATAGTGTCTTAGAATTTTCCATCGACAAAAGTAGAAGCAAAAAAAAAAAAGTTAACTAGCCATGGTTCACAGACGTAGGTGTTAACTTTTGAAGAATCTTCAATTAATCCAAATTTATCAAAAGAACCCCTGTCAAACTCCATCATCACATTTGCTGCTTCACAACCTTTCTCCCACAAAACCTTCTTGCCCAATAACCCCACCACTAACTCCATCCTCCATCCCCAGCCCACTATCTTAAAATCCGCCCCATCTCATTCCTTAGAGATAATCAGATAAAACCCATGCTACCAATCCCCGATCCCTCTCATCCCTTACTCGGCCCCATCTACTACCTCTCTATTGCAGATTTACTTTTTCTAAGCTATTTTTTTAATTTTCTTCCTTAGTTGCAATTATCCCCACTGTTTCCTGCGAAATAATATAAGATCTTTTTTAACTTTACAACATTGTATAGAAGTTCTTCTTTGGCATCTTCTGTTATTTACGTTATCCCAAAGACAGAGAATAAGAATTAGATCATTCGACTGGAGACTTGTTAAATTACCAAGTGAAAGATTAAAAAATTGAAAGATTAGAAATGATGGGTGTTATTTGTGAGAAAGAGGTGTGAGAAGAAGATATTGACAAATCGGTTTGGAGAAGAAGATAAGTTTATTCAACTCTGCATTTAACCAGGCAAACCGGTTGTCCTTCCCATCAAAACGTGCACTAGAAATCTGTGATTAGGATGTATCCATAACTTCGATTTAAGTTATAGACTGTGGTACTCATATTATCCTTTTTTTTAAAAAAAAAAACTTTCAATTTTTTCCTCTTATTCTTGTCTATAATCTAAGTAAGGCTTTAAAACGACCAGATTTGTTTAATCCAATTTGCCCAAAAACTCTCCTCAACTGCCTTCCTAAGGAAAGGTTTGAAGTTTGGATATTGATAGGAGCGGAAATCATTTTATTTTTTGGTTTTTTTTGTAGCTAAAAGGAAAAAAAACAAATACAAGAAGAGGAAACCCGATTAGCCCCAGTTACTAGAAGTAACATGGCTACTTAAAAAGTCCACAAGGTCCATAATTGGGGATATAGATCGGGTTGACCCAAACTTTTACTACTGGAATAAATTGAATTTGCATAAAACTGGTAGGTGTAATACACAATTTAGAACTGAAATATTGTTCAAAACATCACTTATATTTCATCAAATGAAGTTTTTTATTATTTATTTTTAAAATATTAGTTTTTCGTCTCTTACAAATTCAAGTCGGCAAAATTTGATTCTAATCTAAGTTTTGAACTACTTTTCAGCTTAAAGTATCACTTTTAAATGTTAATTTTACCCCTTTTCAAAATATCATTTTCTCTTATTCTAAGGGTACATTTGATAAAATTGAATTTTGAAATTTGAAATTTGAAGTCTAAAATCTGAAACATGAATCCATTAAGTTAGTGAATAGTTACGTACTAAATTTGATACATTTGAGTGTATACTATATGATAAGTGAACAGTTTAAAACTTATTTTTTGGAGTAAATTTTGTTTAGAAAATTCAGTATCAATTAATGAATTCAGATATTCTAATTTTGATTATCAAATGTATTTAAATATAGGAAATTTTGCCAAATTGGTCCCTAACATTTTCACAAAAATTTTTTTTAGTTCTCAACATTTAAAATCAGCTAAAATCGTCCTTAACATATAAATTATGATCCATTTTAGTCCTAGTGCTCATATTTGCTTTTTTCTTCGACTGAAAATAGCACACCTCTCTCACGTGGACATATTTTTAAGGGAAAAATCTAAAAACATCATTCCAGGTTGAAAGCAAAAGTACCCCTTTCACCTTTTGCCCTAAAATTACAGTAAAAAAAACCCTAATTTTTCCCTGAATTTTGGGAGGAGGCATTGTGTATCTAATGTTGAATGGGGCTCTCCTTTTCTTTTGCTTTCGTGCCAACCAGACACCAAGCACCATAAGACCAATTGCCAGAAAGCCCATGAATCCAATTGCCATGACAACTCCGCCCTTCATGCTCCCACCATTTCTGGATATTGTGATTGCTTTAATATTTGGAGCAGGTGTAGTTGATCTTGCAGTGGGTTTCTCAGGGGAAATTGCTGGTAAGACTGAGTTAATTGGAGCATTAGCTTGGGATGTATTATTCCAGGAGGCAGGGGAGAAGGTGGAATAAGAGATGTGGTGATGGGAGAAGGAGATGCCATCGAAAGTGGAGGGGATTTAACAAGAATGGAGTCTGCGAAGAAGCAGGTGGTGGTGGAGGAGGTAATGCAGGAGAGGAAGGGCTGGTGAGCTATGACTTTATAGCAGGAGGAGGTGGAGAAACTGAGGTAAGTGGTGTTGGGACTACAATTGGCAGAGGAGGAAAGGGTGAAAGAGTTAGAGATGGAGGTGCTATGCCAAAGGGAGGGGAAGGTGATACTTGTGGGGGAGGAGGAGATGATAAGTTTATAGATGGAGGGGGCACCAGGGGGTGGGTGGTGGTGGCACAGACGGAAGGGGAAGGAGGGATGGAGGAGGTAAGGAAGAGGAAGGGGGCGGTGTTGATAATGGTGGTGGTGATGATTGGGGTCGGGGAGAAGGGGAGAGGTAAGTAAGGAAGTATAATTTTCGATTTTGCTCCTAAAAATATGTTCACGTGAGATATGCGTGCTATTTTCAGTCAAAAAATGAGCAAATATGATCATTAGAACAAAAATGGATCATAATTTATATGTTAGGAACGATTCTGACTGATTTAAATGTTAGAAACTAAAAAAGTTTTTTGTGAAAATGTTAGGGATCAATTTAGCAAATTTCTCTTAAATATATTAAGATCTAAACCTATTAAATTTAAAGTGTTGAATTCGGTTATCAAACAGATTTTAAGTTTTTGGGGTGTATACATCTTTGTCTGAGACTGCTTACGATTCTGATAAAGAGAAGCAAACTGAAAACACTGATTTTTTTGTCATTTTGATTTTCTTAGAAATGGGAAAGGTAAGTTGATACATTTTGAATTAAGTTTTATTTTCTTTCCTTTTGTTTAGTGCACTAAGTTTTGATTTTTAGCTTTGAGAAAAATGAAAATAATAATAAATAAGGTAAGTTTCTAAGAAATTTTCTAGTGCACACACCCTCACGCACTTGTGCACTCCACCAACATCAAAGGAAACAAAGGCCTTGTTTGGATTGTAGTTTTCCGTCGAAAAATTACGTTGTTTTCCATGATCACATTTCCCTATTACCTTTTTCCCTCACATACATCAAATTTACAGTAATTTTTTCATGAAAAATCATGGAAAATGCAATCCAACACAACCTAGAAGTTGACGTTTGACCCAAAAAAAAAATTAAAGGAAATGACTAGAAAGCTTCCTTCCTGGATTCTTTTCTCATCTCCAAGTAAAAGCGAGGGCCTTCTCTTTTCATCTTCTGAAGATTCTATGCGCTCTACTGACAGCAATGGAAATGACAAAAAGCTTCCTTCTTCAATGCCTTTCAACTCAGAAAAGCCCACTACATTTTTTGGATGTTTTAAAAACAAGAAAGCACAGCTTTTGATGCACTAATCAAGATTTAAACTCTCGATGTTATGCACCGAAAAGATTTAAGGGATAATTTCAGAAACCTTCCCTGAGATTTTTAATAATTTTACTGAGCTCCTCTGAGGTTTGAAAAATTAAACTTACTTCCCTTGATTTTATAATTTTAGTAACAAAACCTTAAAATAATATTGGTTTGGTCAAATATTTAAATGAATACCAAAAATACCTTTGTGTAATGAGTTTTAATTTATTTTCCTATACAATTATAAAAATTATCTATTATAATTATAAAAAAAATTCCAAATTTTTCATGTCCATACTTACTATTTGATAAACAACTATAATAATAATTTTATCACTATGATATGATACTTTTGATGGTATTTTATTTTGGATTTAGATTTATAAGATAGAAAAGAAAATGTTGAAATAATTCATTTATAGTCTTTGAATTTTTCGAGTAATGGGATTATCACAATTTAGTAGTGCCTTTGGGCTATTTTTTTATTTATTGTTAATTTTAATAACAAAAAATAAAAAAAATATTAACAAAAATCATTAGATTATATATAAAATTAACTCGAAAAAACAATCACTAGTTCGATATTTGGTTGTAATAGAAACTGGAGGCAATAGTAGTAATTCTACAGTTTTATTGGCAAAAAATTTAAAAAAAAGGAATAAGAAGGAAAAATAATGAAAAATAATTTTAAAACCCATTCTAAATATAAGCATACCAAATAAAGGAATTTCATTAAAATATTTAAGGGTAAAATTATCATTTTAAATAATAAAGGAGGTATGTATAATTTTTTAAACCTAAAGAGAGTTCAGTGAAATTATTAGAAACCTCAGGGGAGGTTTCTGAAATTATCCCAAGATTTAAAGAGGCTCTCTCAATCATCTTCTAAAGTACGAACGCGTCCATATATCGGGAAGCGTTTGACAGTTCCTACTATAGGAACTGACTATGTGTGAGGCCAAGAAATAGACATGAAGGTTGCTGTCCAAACTCGTTGGAATTGAGATGGGGAGGGCCATTGAATGCACGGGCGATGGTCGTGAATGTGGAGTCGCTTAAGAAAGAGCTGTTGGGGCTGTGCTGGGGACCCATAGTCACATGGCTGGATTTGTAGGAATTGTGGTGGTTACCATCGAATTGTCCCACTGAATGAAATTTTTCGAGGGGTGCTAGTACTGCAATGGTTGTTTATCTTTTTCTGACTGCACTGTTTCTTTTTATTTTCTCCTAATGCTCTTGCCAATTCTTGGTTATAAGATGAAAAAGAAATGGAAAATCAGGGATTTGGTTATCAAGATTTGTAAGAAGAATTTCTAATTTTTTTCTGTTTACATTATAAATACAGATTTCAATTACTTTTTATATCACATACATATTGCAAGCCACAGTATTATTTTAGATAATTTTTTTCAAAATAATTTTCTATCCAAATAGACCCGTCGTTTTCTTTATTTTTGCTGATAATGTTCTAGAAAATGGATCCAACCACCCAAGAAAATGACATGAAATATGTTAAAGGATTTCAAATACAATCATTTCATGTGAAATACATGATTTGGGGACAATTGCTTGTTATGGGGTAATTATCTTTTCCCTGTCCCACTTTTTCTACTCTTTAATTTCACAAACCTCCCCTGAGGTTTGTGACACTTGCACTGAGACCCCTCCAGGTTTTAAAAATTTCACCTAGCTCCCTTGCTTTTCAAATTTTGATAATAATTCAGTCCAATTAGGATTAAAATATTACTGTCATGATAGAGATGACATTTTTATATTCCATGAATACCCTCTTCCTCCCTATATTAGTACAAGATTGCTTGTTAATAAAAGGTAGACATGATTATCAAAGTTGAAGGGGTATAAATGTAATTCAGGATTATTTCTTCTATTACACTAAGACATCTTCAGTAGTTGACAGGAATAGCCAACGGTCTGATGCAATCTTCCAACGGCCAAAAATTTGGAAACCTCTAAGTGCATATAAACATCTGGAAACCACATTGATACGAACGTCGCCAACCTTGTGACGAAACCCGTAAAAGATTAGCTTCAGGATCGACAAGAGGACACCAAGTTTGAGCGGATGACCTCAACCCGTTAATCACGTGGTTAACGAACCTTGGTATAATGGTAGAAGACGCCACAACCTAGTGCGATTCTAGATTGATAAGTCACGAACACCTAGAGAAATTCTAAGGTATTCAAGAAGCCTTGGAGAAACCAAGAAAACTCTCAAAATCTGATTTATTGATTGAATGCCTAAACCATTGGAAGTGTGGGCTATTTATAGCCTTACATAGAGATGAACAACTAAATGTGGAACTAGTCTAGAGTTGTGGTCTTGACTAAGACTAACAATTGTAGGCTTGACTATTTCCATAAGACTAAGAATTGTGGGCTTGACCAAACCTTATGAGGTCATCCCTTAGGTAAACAACCTTATGAGGTCATCGCTTAGGTAAATAACCTTATGAGGTCATCGCTTAGGTAAATAAAGCAAGGCTATGGACCATTAAGCCCTTATTACAATGACTTAACTAAAACAGCAAATGTGACTAGAGAAGGGTCACACATGGTTCTCTTTGACGTGCACTACATGGATGACTTTCATTCCTTCATGCTCAAGCCCTCAATGACCTTGGGGACAATTTCTTGGCCTTGTATCTCATGAACAAGTCCTTGGAGTTCCTCCCTCATCTTCTTAGCTCGTGCTCGAGTTACGGGTCCTAGGGGAACTCGAATAGTTCGCAATGGTGTCTCTTGGTTCGTATCATCCCCCTCCTCTTCAAAAGGATTTGTCCTCAAATCAGCTTCATCGTCTGCAAGAAAAGGAGATAGATCAGAGACATTGAATGTAGCGCTCACATTGTACTCACCGGGTAGGTCCAGTTTGTAAGCATTGTCATTGATGCGCTTGATGACTTGGAACGGCCCATCTCCTCGGGGAAGTAATTTATTGCGCCTTTGGACTGGGAACCTTTCCTTGCGTAGATGTAACCACACCCAGTCACCAGGTTCAAACACAACGCGTTGGCGTCCCTTGTTAACCCGTTGAGCAACTTGGTCCATCCTTCGCTCAATGTTTAGGCGTACCTGCTCGTGTAATTTCTTGACAAAATCTGCTCGTTTAGCACCATCCATGTTAATGTGCTCAGAAGAAGGTAAAGGTGATAAGTCTAGTGGTGTTAAAGGGTTAAAACCATAGACTATTTCAAATGGTGAAAAATGAGTAGAACTATGCACCGTGCGATTGTATGCAAACTCAACATGGGGTAAACACTCTTCCCAGGTTCTAATGTTTTTTCTAATGATGGCACGCAAGAGTGTAGATAGTGTACGATTGACAACCTCAGTTTGGCCATCAGTTTGTGGGTGACTAGTAGTAGAAAATAGCAATTTGGTACCCAATTTTCCCCACAAAGTTTTCCAAAAGTAACTCAAAAATTTGACATCCCTATCAGAGACAATTGTCCTAGGCATGCCATGCAATCTAATGATTTCTTTGAAAAACAAATCAGCAATGTGCGATGCATCATCTGTTTTGTGACATGGTATAAAATGTGCCATTTTTGAAAATCTGTCAACAATAACAAAGATGCTATCATTTCCCCTCTTTGACCTAGGCAACCCTAAAACAAAATCCATGGAAATGTCGGTCCAAGGTTCCTTAGGTACAGGTAAAGGACTATAAAGGCCATAGGGTTGAAGTTTAGACTTAGCTTTGTGGCAAGTAATGCATTTAGCCACCATTCGCTCCACATCTCGTTTCATCCTTGGCCAATGGAAGTGCTCTTGAAGGATAGCTAAGGTTTTAGCCACGCCAAAGTGTCCCATCAAGCCACCTCCGTGTGCTTCCCTAACAAGTAAAGAGCGAATAGAGCAGTTAGGTATACATAGTCGATTGAGGTAGAAAAGAAATCCATCAAGGATGTAGAATTTACCTTGAGTTGCTGAACCACAAGAGTCATAAATACCTGAGAAATCTGGGTCATTGGTGTATAACTCTTTAACTAATTCAAATCCTAACAACCTTGCATCAAGTTGAGTG